GCTATCACCGTTAGATTCCTCATCACGGAAAACCTTTATAATGTTTTTCTGACAAAGTTCCCCCTTCAAGCAACCCAACTAACTTTTTCAGAACGAATTTTCACCGTTTCATGAAAATCGGGCCACTAATAAAAAGTTTCCATTTCTCATGATCCGTGAAGGGAATGAGGGAAGCGGGGATATATGTGAGCTTAGTCGACGTCGAGTTTGCCATACCTCGTATTACTCGTATCTCTTCCCAGTGATAAGCTCAAACCAGAGAGGGCCACCGCCCGCCCGCGCCCCCCGGGGCCCCCCCCCGGGGGGCCCCCCCCGCCCCGCCCCCGGCCCACAGTACGGAAAGTTTGATGGCTGAGAAGCAGAACTGCCTCCCATGTCGGCCGGCTCATGATGCATAAGCAACTATGTGCGAAATCCCGGTCTGTGCGGGAAGAAGAGTAGCCTTGGTAAATAATGACAGCGTTTCATTGAAAATCAAGAGGAATTGGGCGTCTTCTCTCGAATTGGATAAGGCGTCCGAACAAAGTCCGTGCTGAAATGCGGCCTTCCGTGAGCAAAACCACCGTGTGGTGAGTAAGCCAGCAGAGCAATACATCTTCAGCGGATTGATGAAGAGCGTTCCAAGATTATTTGAGCGCTACAAGATCGCACGTCTCCATTTCTCGTGGAAAAGGGCTCAACTTAATGAACGAAGGTGTGGCTGCCAAGACCCTTCGCGTGATCTTGGACTCCACCTCCTCGTTTCATGCTACGGGTGATCTGGAATCGGCGTGAAAAAGTTTATTCTAAGTGGATCTGATGGAAAATGAGGGTACAGGAGGGTTCCGTGAAAATCGCAGATGGTTTCGAAGTAAGGTAATTTTGGCGGAGAATTCCTTGTGGTTTGAGGCACCTTTGAACGACTGAGCGGCTAGAGCTCGTATTTGTTTCCTTTCACGAGGATTCCATAGGGTATCGTGAAGTTCTTCTGAAGCGACTTTTACCATCTTTTCGACAACAGCCCTCGAACCTTGATTTTTACGCACGATAACGCAGCTGTCCATGCCGGTCCTTACACGCCAGATGGAAGTGCAGGAAAAAATGTGGCAGTTATCTATTGGCCACCATGTTATATGAATCAGTTTCCAATGGAGAATCACAGGGCCTTAATTGTTATAAAGTTCCACAGCAAAGAAAAGCAAAATGGAACAGCCGAAGAGCTGAAAACGTCGATCATCAGCGCGCAGACAAATTTCGATCCTACTGTAATAGCTAATTTGGTTACCAGCATTCCAAAACGTATTATTGTGTTCCTTATGACTAATGGAGGACCACCACATTATTGAAATTTTTTTACGTTTTTTTGTTGTAATAAAATCTTTCGACAAGTAATGTGTAGTCATATTTGCGAAACGGTGAAAATACGTTCTAAAAAAGATATTTCAATAATTCTGAATCGAGATTTCTCCAAAAATCGAGTATCAAGGTTTTTCGTTATGGGGAAACTATTGGTAATAGCGGCATTTCCCAAAAATGCGCAGCAACTTTGGAATAGCAAAAATTGAGGGTGGACCTATAATTATGAAACGCAGTGTATAAATTGAAATGTTCGTAATAACTTCGTATAGCATACATGCTGAACATGGAGCGATTTGATGTGTAAACTCGCGCTTACTAATGCACATGGACACCAACCCATGTAATTCGGACTCCACAAGCTCCAGGTAGTTATCGGTGCTTACGTTTGCTCGATCAGCTCCGCTCCCCTCCTCCCCTCTTATCATCCGCGTTACTGTAAGGGGTGGAGAGTGTACGACAGAGGCAACACCCATGACGCGGCATAAAAGAGCGTCGGAGCAGCTGGAAAGCATTTCCACCTTGCTTCGCAGCAGCTTTACAGTGCCCATATTCCTACCAGCTCGCCACAAGGCCAGTTGAACTAGCAAAAACAAAGCAAAAACCGTCGTCTGACCTTCCTTATAACGGCACTCAGCAAATACAATAGAAATTACTGATAAATCTTTATTTCTCCTCAAGCTTATTATATCCCGTCATCCTTCTCCTTCCAAGAACAAGCCAGACCAACCCTAATAGCGCGTTCATTCACAACAGCTTCTGCTTCCCTCAACAAAACTCTTCTAAATATGTACAAAAAGATGGAAGCAGACGGTCAAGCATAGATCTGTTCGGAAAAGACTTAACATCTCGTCAACGAGGAAAACCGGGAACGATAAGGCGGTCAACATCAATTATGTCCGTCTACCTGTCAACCTTCTGTAAATACTAGCAACGTAAGCAACATATCTGTTCCACACATTGTCATCGACCATCAGTGTATAGCATCTAAAAAAGGATAAAGTAGAGAACAACTCGCACGAAGTTAGAATTTTGCAAAGAAAACGACTCCACTCCTCACACCCAATCATTTGTTGAACTGGAAGCAAAAAGGAGGGCAGGAGTAATCCTAATGAAAAATTAGAGAAGATCAGCAAGTATCTATTTTTTATGAAATAGAATACTGGAAAGAAAATCAGCAAGACTGGGAAAAGCATGTGAGGGGGGACAAAGCCATCACCGTCTTTAAACTTAGCATCGGTATGGAATGCATGAAATGCCTGGAATTGCACGCAAGATTAGATGCATATCGATTCGGTTCACAACGCGCAAGAACGCGGAATATGTGCGTGAAATGAACGAATGTGAAAAATAGGCGAATCGATACTGTTTGACAATTCGGAGACCGCGCATGTTTCACGTTTTGCGGCCGCGTATAACTTCAGTGAATTTCAGGAATCTTATCAAGCAAAATGGAGAAAAAACCTACTGCATGATGGAGGGGAAACCTCATGCAATAAAATAGAAGAGAAAAGGAAAACTTTGGCTCTTG